TTGTTTATGTGGATGATATTGTTGTTACAGAGAATGACCCAAGTGAGATTGACAGTTTGAAGAAGAATCTACACTGGGAATTTGAAATTAAGGATCTTGGAGAGCTTAAGTACTTCTTGGGCATTGAAGTTTCAAGATCAAAACATGGAATCTTCATTTCTCAAAGGAAGTATGTTCTGGATCTTCTACAAGAAACAGGGAAGCTTGGAACAAAGGTAGTTAGTACTCCTATTGATCAGAATCACAGAATTAATGCATCAGAAGGTGAGCTGGTAAAGGACATTGGGAGATATCAGAGACTTGTGAGGCGGCTACTGTATTTGTGTATGACAAGACCAGACATCTCCTATGCAGTGAGTGTAGTGAGTTAATACATGCCTGCCCCACGAGTCCAGCATTGGAAAGCTATTAACAGGATTCTTGCTTATCTTAAGGGACACCCAGGCGGAGGCATACTATTTGTTGATCATGGACAGTTGAAGCTAGAGGCTTATACAGATGCTGATTGGGCAGGATGCCTTGATGACAGGAGATCTACTTCAGGAGTTTGCACCCTTGTTGGGGGTAACCTAGTCTCGTGGAAAAGTAAGAAACAGACAGTGGTGGCAAGATCAACTGTAGAAGCAGGATACAGGGCTATGGCATATGGAGTTTCAAAACTTCTCTGGATCCGTTCCTTGTTAGGAGAGATTGGTTAAAGGCAGAAGAACCTATGATGTTGTACTATGATAATCAGGCAGCAATTAACATTGCCCATAACCCAGTTCAGCATGACCGGACAAAGCACATTGAAGTGGATAGACACTTCATCAGAGAAAGGGTGACTTCTGGGGAAGTTTGTCTCCCATACATTGCTTTTGATATGCAGCTTGCTGATGTTCTCACAAAAAGTGTTGCAAGAAACAAGATGGAGCATGATCTATGCAAGTTGTGAATGTGTGACATTTACTCCCAACTTGAGGGGGAGTGTTGAGTTGGGCCAATTTCTAGTTATTGGGCCCAGTTATTTATTTCTTATTTTTAAGTTGTTAAGTTGGACGTTGTTGGGCTTTAGGCCCATTAGTTTATGTTTTTAAGTTGTAACTGTTCAGCTACTTAAGTAGCCGCCCTACTAAGGGCATTCTAGTAATCTCTTATTCTTTTAAGTTGAGTACATAATACAAAGAGAGGTTGGTGGCCAGAACTAATTCAATTCTGGTTGACATCCTACTCCCTTTCTTCTTCTCCTCTTTTCTTCTCTACTGCTGAAACTCTTCACCTTCTTTCTTCTTTCTCTTCACAAGGAACTTATCTAAAACTGCAATCAGTGATTTCTACTGAACCAAAATGCATCCTATCCAGCATATAGTCTAAGAATGCCCAATTAACATGATCATAGGCTCTTTCTAAGTCAATTTTGCAAATCAGCCCTTTCCTCCCACTTCTTAACCTGGAGTCAATTAATTCATTTGCAATAAGAACTCTATCATGGATTTGTTTATTATGAACAAAGGCACCTTGGTGAGGTGAAATCAGAGATTCCACCACAGCTCTTAGCCTTGTTGCCAATACTTTGGCTAGGATTTTGTATACACTACCAATTAGGCTTAATGGCCTAAAATCCTTCATCCCTTTAGCTCCACTTTTCTTAGGGATCAGAGATAGGAAAGTGACATTCAGACTTCTCTCTAAAGCAGCCGATTCATAAAACTCCTCCAAAACTTTCAACAGTTCTGTTTTAATTAGTTCCCAGAATTTCTTGTAGAAAAGGATAGTAAATTCATCTGGTCCAGGGGCCTTTTCCCCTTCCAAACTGTCAATAGCCTCCTTAACTTCTCTTTCCGAGAAAGGTTTTTCTAGATCCTTGGCCTGCTGATCCATGAGGGTGTCAAACTGAATACCATTCAGCTTTGGTCTTCGTTTGCAAGGTTCACTGAAAATATTTTTGAAGAAGAATTCACAGCTTCAGCAATTTCTTTTTCTTGAGATACAGTCTTATCTCCCAYCTCTAGCTGGTTTATGGAATTTAGCCTTCTCCTAGCATTAGCTAACTTGTGAAAGAAAGCTGAATTGCTATCTCCTGCTTTTAGCCACATAGCCCTTGACCTTTGTCTCCATTTAATTTAATTTTGGTAAGCCAAGGATTCATAATCCTTCTCTGCCCCTGCCCTTCTCCTTCTCTTCTCGTCATCCAAAGGTCCAGTTTCCTCCTCTGCATCCAAATCAGCAACTAATTTCAAGCAAAAGTCCTTTTTCTCCTCATCTTTCTTTGATCTTTCTTTCTGCCACTGTTTTAGTTTAGCTTTCAGCCACTGGAGTTTTTTAAAAAACACATGGCTGGCTGTGCCTTAGAAGAAACTTTCATGGTTTACCTGTTCTTTAGGAAGTCTTGGGGCTCTAGTTGGGGGGACTTCCTGCAAACCCATGTCCGATACCCCCCATGGGGGGTGTCTCTAAGGTGATTTTGTCATTTTGACAATAATTGATGTAGGACAGAATGGGCTTTGTGGGGTGACGGAAGGGCATTGGATGATTTATGAAGAAGAATATGGATGAAGAAGCAAGTAGACAGCTTGCTGTCCAACAAAGGATAAGCAAATGATTAGAATAAATGAGAACTTCTAACAACTTTAAAACTAAGACAAACCCACAGGTAACCATAAGGATACTTAAATAAGGACTTTAATTCCTAAAACAATTCAAGTAACACCTTACTAATCCTACCAAAACCAGGGTTGCATTTGGATAAGCTTCAGGATGTGTGCTTTTAAAGACCAAAAGCACGAAGTCCCAATTCCGGACTTTGTGCTTTGGGGCTTAGAGTGTTTTGGCTTTATGTTGTTATGTTTTTAAAATCAACTCTAACTAACTGCTCATAACACAATTTGGCTCATTTTTGTTTCCCACAACCCAAAGTTCAAAAGCAAAAGTTTATCCAAACAAAGCCTAATTTAACGCAAAGAAAACAGAAATCACTAAAAATAATATTTGCAGTTTTTCTATAGCAATAATTACAGGAATTGCTAAAAATAGAAAGTTCAAAAGTTACTATAAATGGTAATTTCGATTTACTAATGTTTCTATCACCCATAAATTCTAAAAAAGAAAAAAATATATATATGCAAACTGTTTTTTATCAATAAAGAAGATACAAGCTTCAAGTGGGCAAAGTTGGTGAAGATTAGTTATAACTATCCYGTAAATAAAGACAGATCATCACAATCTTTATAAAACCAACAGAATAGACTAGAAATCATTATATGGCAAAAAATATTTCTAGAAAAGCAAATGGACGATGATCTTTCTAGAAAGAATGTATCTATGCTGAATTGCTGATCACTAATTAACCAATTCAGAAAATCTTTTGATGTTTGATTTGGGAGAACATAGAATAGCATTTACCAAACAGATCTGCACATTGGGTAAAAACAATGGAACTTTTCAGGAATGTCTCTATAAATGACATTCTAAGGAATTGGCCTGAAGTGGTACAAATAGATTCATTAAGAGAAAATGTGAGAATGGATTGGAAACCACCTATACCAAACAAACTAAAACTGAACTTTGATGGGAGTTCCTTTGGTAACCCAGAAAGAGCAGGTACGGAGAAGTGTTAAAAAATCATCAAGGAGCAGTTTTGGCACTATTCTCAGGACTCTGGTGATTCAATTCAGGCTGAAACTCTGGCTCTCCTACAAGGCTTGAAATTGGCTGAGCAGATTGGAGCAACAGATTTGAAAATTGAAGGAGATTCACTCCTGGTCATATATTGGGCAAAGCAAATCATTTCAGCACCTTGGAAGCTCAAATTTATTTTCAGAGAAATTGACCTACTTGCAAGGAGATTTAACTGTCAGTTTGGATGGGTAAAAAGGACAGCAAATGGTTTGGCGGATGTCCTAGCCAAACAAGGAGCAGATAGACTTTCTTTATCTGGGCTAAACTGTAATCTGTTGTAATCTGGGTCACTACATTGCTGAAACTCTAAAACTCTTGTACTTTAATCAGTAATTAATGAATTAATAAAAGTTTTATTTGTTGATTAAAAAAAAAGAATGGCATTTACCAAAGGGTAAATGGCAGTATGTTTTGGACTCCCTCCCCCTCAGGCCTTTTCAATTGTGCCTCCTTTTACAACACCCTCATTCACTTAAATTCCATTGGGGAAAACTTTCCAGTGAAAGAAATTTGGAGTAAACCTATCCCACCTAAAATTGAAGCCTTCTGATAAATTGTTTACAATCTGAAATTTAATAAAATACATGTTTACTGATCAAATAAAAAAGTCTTCCTTGGAAAGATTTAACACTTGTGATATGCTTCAGAAAAGAAGGCTTAATAATTTCCTCTCCCCTCATATGTGCAGTGTATGTAAAGCAAATAGTGAGACTATTCTCCATTTACTAATATCCTGTCCTTTTGTGCTTTCTGTTTGGATGTGCTTTTCTTCTCTCTTTGGATGCAGGTGGGACCCACTTTTTTGAGGCAAATGAAAAAGGGGTGAATCTTGTGAAAGGAAGCAAGGGCAGCAGCTATTTGGACAATATGAGAAGAAAGAAATGAAAGGATATTCAAGGATAATGCAGATCCAAGGAAGACAGTGTGGACAGCATAAAAATCATGGTTGCTCATTGGGTAAAAACAATGGATATCTTCCATTTGGTCTCAGTAGATGATATCCTAAGAAATTAGAAAGTAGCACTCTGCTGCAGTGAAAGGTAAAATTCTCATGAAGTGGAAGCCTCCTCAAAATAATAGAATGATGAACTTTGATGGGAGCTCATTGGGGGGGGCAACCTTTAAATGGGTAAAGAGGACAGTGAATGGGATGAATGACTGCTTGGCTAAACCAGGGGTGCATAGGGAACAACTATTTTGGGCTGACTTGTAAATGGGATTTTTGGCTTGTAAAGAATGCCTATTTGTATTAATTTCAGTATCTCACTATGCAATATGCTTTAACTTGAATGAATGAATGAAATCATTTTGCTGATAAAAAAAAAAGAATGGCATTTACCAACCTATAGGCAGTTATAGGAGCTTCTGGATTTGCTTCACTTGGCATTAAATCCATCCCTCGACCTTCTTTTATCATGCTTGAAGCCAAATCAATCATTGCAGCAGTTTCAGGAAGAGTTGCTCTATATTCCCGGTCACTAACTGGAGCCTGAACCAAGCTTAATTTATTTTAGGCAACTTACATCTAAATTCTAAACTAATAGAATTTCTCAAATATACATAAAATTGCAAACTCCCATGCTTGACTAAGAAACAAAGAAATTAGTGGACCAAAAATATATAATAGAAAAAGCGAAGGAACTTTCAAGTTTCCATTTTCTGCCAAATTATTTAACTTTGTGTTCCCATTTACCCTTGGAACTGTACCATTTTTGAGCTTTTGTCCTCATAATGGTACAATAAGAACCATGCTTACTCATCATAAAATGATGATGATGTGAAGCAAAGTGGATATGAAGAGAGATCCACTATAAGATAGACCTCAATCTCTAGCCTGAAATTGCGACACCCCTTTTTCATTATGCTTGATCCAACTTGTTACCACTTGCCAATCCCCTACTAGCAAAATCCTTGCCAAGTTCATTTCCCCTCTAGCAGATAGACCTTCATTGTGTAGGCCCTTCTAAATCTCAGAAATTGGCACCTTAAAACACACTTTAGGAGCATAGTATATGTACTAAGGAAATATATAATCCATGTAGAAGTATATATATTATATAATTCTAATAGAAGAAAACTACCAGTAACTCTGACATAAATTGGATGTCTATTTTGGAGGAATGGATATGTAGAGATACTCGATGTACTGTAGTTCTATGGTCCCTGTTGTACCATAGCATTTATTTTCTTTCTTATCCTTCAGCCCTTCAAGGGCCTCTTTGTAAATACTTATAACTAATAAGATATATAGGCTCTTTGGGGGTGGGCATTGTTTATTCAGCTTGACACGCCTGAAACTCCTGGTGTTCTCTTAACCTAGAAGATTGGCATGGTATCAGAGCAGGCCATATCCTTCAGCTGCTGATTTGTTTAAGTTCTGGGGTGATTAGTGGACTGTTTAAGGAGTGTTTCAATCACTCTCAAATCCTGGTTGAATTTTTTGAAGTGCTGTTTTGGATCAGACGAAGCTGATATCTTTTTTTTTCTGGAAAAGACGCCCAGAAGGTCAGATTTTCTTCTTGTTGTTGACAGTCCTGAAATTGATACAGTCCTGAAACTTACCATTTTAGGACTGAGATTGATACAGCCCTTTTTTTTTGAGATTCTGCAGCAAAACCTCAGTTTTTTTGGTGGAGTATTTGTTGTTGATTTGCTACTGATCTTAGTTGGGTGATTAATCACCGTTTTTTTTTTACTGTTACCCTCTCTTGAAGTCTGCTAACCTTTTTGGACTGTGGGTGTGTTTTGAAATGTCCGAGAAGGCTAATACCATTCCCATAAAGTTCAATGGAACTAACTACAGCATGTAGAAGTTCCATTTTGACTTCTTTGTTGAAGGGAAAGGCCTAGAGGGATATTTGGATGGGAAGATTAAACCAGATGAAACTGATATCAAAGGATATGCACAATGGAAGTTGGATAATGGGAAATTAGTCTCTTGGATACTCAGCTCAATTGTTTCTCATATTGCTATACCCATGAGACAGATGCATACAGCTTATGAGATAAATGCATATTTGAAGAAAGTGTACGATCAATCTAACATGTCCAGACAGTATCAGATTGAATCTGAAGTCTTTTCTTACTGCCAGAGAGATAAGAAGATTCAGGAATATTATGCCAGTTTTATTGATTTGTGGGAAGAGTATGAATTTATCAATACAGATTCTTCAGATCCCATAGAATGCATCAAGTATCTCCAGCGACACTTTGAGAAAAGAAAAGTGAATCAATTCCTATGAGACTTAGAGGCCGGAATATGAGATAATCAGGTCCAACATACTGAGGGACTATTCTAGATCTGGATTCAGTAATGGGGGAATTGTTGAGGGAGGAGACTAGATTTTTAACTGCTGCAAGTTTTGATGGAAAATTAATTGTTTGGGGCAGATACAGCTTTTGTTGTTCATGGAAACAAGAAATCTAGTGCTAAGGACTTCTCCAAAATACAGTGTTATGAGTGCAAGGGTTTGGACACATTGCTTCTCACTGTAAGAAGAAGAATGTCTACATCTATTGTAAGCAGCATGATCACATCATCCCAGACTGTCTAATTAGACCATCTAAAGGTGTTCAGAAGAAGAACCAACCACGTGCATATCAAGTGACTGAGGGCCAAACCACTGATGCTTCCTCTTCCAAGGGTGATTCTTCTACTAAGGGTGAATCTTCTAGATCTCCCGCATCTATGGATGAAATTCGCAACTGGTATCATCTACTATTTCCTCTACTTTTTCTGCCATTGGCCTGTCTGGTGAGTTTTCTGGTTACTGTTCTTCTCAGTCTCAAATTTGGATCATTGATTCCAGAGCAACTAATCATATGACAGGAGCTTATTTTGAACCCCTAGACAGCATACCTAAATCCCATCATAGACATATCATTACCGCCAACGGTGAAAAACTGAATATCATTGGTAGCAATGACATTTCCCTTAAGCTATCATCTACTACCTCCTTTCCTCTTACCAAAACCTTTCCTGTACCTAATCTTACTGCTAATCTAATTTCTGTCGGTCAACTTGTTGATGAAGGATATATACTTACTTTTCCTCATGATGATTGTTTGATTCAAGACTGGTATACTGGGAAGGTGAAAGGGAAGGGGCATAGGTTGGGCCATTTATTTGCATTGGAGTTTGAGAATCCTAAAGCACCAGCATCTTCAGCATATCTTAGTTCGTTTTCTTCTGAATCTATTGTTGGACAAAGAAATAATGTTTGGGATTTATGGCATAAATGCTTGGGACATCCTCATTTTGAAAAGTTGAAATTTTTGTTTGACTCTGGTTCTATTAAAAATAAAATCCTTCTTTAAGTACTTTTGATACCTCATGTGTTTCTTGTTGCTTAAGTAAAAGCCGCACTCTACCCTTTTCTCACACATCTGAACATACCACCTCACCATTTGAGATTATACGTGATGTTTGGACTTCATCTGTTATTTTTCGACTCAAATACAAGCACTTTGTCTTGTTTATTGATGATTTTTTTATAAGTAATAAAGTGATTTATTAAGAATAATTAATATGAGCCAACAAAAATTACATAATAGAGATCCCATAGAAAGGCATGAAATGCTGCCTCAAAAAAACAAAGCAAAATTACAACTGAGCGCAGAATAATTCATTCCTATGCACCCCTTGCTTGGCAAGAAAATCTGCCATCCCATTAGCTGATCTCCTTTCCCACTGAACTCTAACTGTTAAATTGGATGTTAGCCACTTAAATTTGCTCATCACCCCCTATATGACCACACTACAATCCCTAGCTCTTTAGCCACCCAATTACAAGTTTAGAGTCTCCTTCAATGACCAATCTCGTGAAGTTCAAATCTTTTGCTAGTTGTGCTCCTTGTACGACTGCTTGGACCTCTACACTAACTGCATCCCCTACTCCTATTAGGCCAGAAAACAAGGCAACAACCTGACCCTCTGCATTCCTAAACACACCTCCAATACCGGAAGGTCCAGGATTGCCAAGACTGCTACCGTCAAAGTTTAGCTTGATGAAGCCTTCTTCAGGGGCCCTCCAAGCAACAACTGGTTTGTTCTTAACAGAAGAGGATTTTTCAATTACTTCCCAGTTTCTCCACAAGTCAAGCTAGAGAGTTTTTTTTTTATTTATCAATGAAGTCAKCTAGAGAGAATTGTGCAAAGCGTTCTGATGCTTTAGCCCAATTAATGGCTCTGTTTAGCAAACAATCCCAAACAGAATCATCATCCCTCTCTTTATCATTGAAGATTCTATTATTTCTTTCCTCCCAAACTATCCAGACCAAAGCAGCCCTAGCACATCTCCATAAAACTCCCCCTCTTCTCTTAGGCCACCGAAAGCTTGTAGGGTCAAAGAGTCCCCCAATTTGCAACGGCATCGTCCACCTGCAACCATAGAGACCAAAAATCCTCTCCCAAAGCTACACAGTAAAGGGCAAGAAATTAGGAGGTGGTGACAGCTTTATCCATTAGCTTTACAAAGGATACACCAACTTGGGGAAATACTAAGATTGGGTCTTTTCTTTTGTAGGATGTCCAAAGTGTTTATTTTCCCAAGAGAAGCTTCCCAACAAAGAGCTCCAACCTTGGGGTGGGGTGGAGGTGGGGGGATGGGTTTAGACCAAATTTCTTTACAAAAGAAAGATTGAGGGTTAGGGGGTACACAACTAGAAGAAGAAGGAAGCACACGAAAAGATGCCCAAAGAGTTGGGAGTCCAAAATCTAGCATCTGGTTTGGAACGGTCTAAGCAAACCGGGTCAAGGGTTTTAAGAAGCAGAGTGGTTTGGTCTAGCTCAAAGTCTCTCAAATTCCTTCTAAAGCCCATATTCCAACTTAATCCAAAAGACTGAGGGGAAGAACCTTATCTCCAGTACTAGCATCATACCTGATAAGGCTCAAGAAGAGGGGAAGAATGCCATTAATAGCCTTCCACGGAGAGTTCAAAGTAGCCTGCCGAGATACTCCAGCATCCCAACCATTCTCTATGCGTCCATGAATACTCCGGTACTTGCATCTTGTTTATTGATGATTGCACCAGGTATACATGGATTTACCTTCTGAAACATAAATTTGAAGTGTGTCCAACATTTCGGCTTTTTCATACTATGATACGAGTCTAGTTTTAGTTTCATATACATATTCTCCATTTAGATTCAGGGAGAGAATACACTAATGAAGACTTTTAACCTACTTGAGAAGTCACGGGATACAAGTTCAACGAAACTGTCCAGATACACCTCAATAGAATGGATTGGCAAAGCATAAGAATGGTCATGTGCTCAGTGTTGCGAGAACCCTATTGCAAGAATCTCATGCACCTTCTTAATTTTGGGTAGAGGTTGCTAGTACTGTTGTTTTCTTGATTAACTATGTTCCTTCATCAGTTCTTGCTAATATGTCCCCTTTCAGAATCGGTTTGGCCATTCACCAAACTTATCTAGCCTACATGYTTTTGGGTGTCTTTGCTTTGTTCATCTTCCCCCTTGTGAACGTTCCAAGTTATCTGCTCAGTCTATTATGTGTGCCTTTGTGGGATATAGTCCAAATCACAAAGGATTTCTTTGTTATGATCCCTCTACCCATCATATTCGTGTTTCTCGAAATGTTGTTTTCCTTGAGCATATCTCATTTTTTGTTGTTGTTGCAAAGTTATTTGCTCCATCTGTTTCTGTCTTGTAGAATTTTAACTCATAGGATGCTTCTCCTCCTATTGATGTGAAGGACTTTCTCGTCTTCTCTCGCAAAAGATTGTGTGCCCCAGATCCTATGCCTCCAACCCCACTTTCTCCCAGCTTGGATCATCCCCCCACTAATGCTCCTATAAGTGAGATTCCTTCAGATTCTCTTCCTTCCACATCTCCTCATCATTCTTCTCGTATTTCTAGACCCCCTAACCGCTATAGCTTCCCTTCAAGCCATAGTTCTTTCTCTGTTGTGCTATCTGTCACAGATATTCCCCGCTCATATAAGCAAGCCATTACCAGTCCTCATTGGAGAGATGCCATAGATGCAGAAATTCATGCCTTATAGGAGAATGGCACTTGGGATTTGGTAGTTCCTCCCTCATATGCTTCAATTATTAGAATCCATTGGGTTTACACAGTTAAGTTGAAATCAAATGGCTCATTGGACCAGTACAAAACTAGGCTTGTTGCTCAATGCTACACCCAAGAGTATGGCATTGACTATGAGGAGGCATTTGCTCCTATTGCCAAGATTACAACAGTCCATATCCTCCTAGCTTTAACCATTACGCATTCATGGGCCATTCATCAGTTTGATGTGAATAATGCTTTTCTTCATAGCAATTTGAAGGAGACAGCATACATGAAGCCTCCTAGATACAGTGGTGATCCCTCTCTTGTTTGTCGGTTAAAGAAATCCTTATATGGTCTCAAACAATCTCCCCAAGCCTGGTTTGAGAAATTCCGAGATGTTGTAGTGGCTGTTGGCTACAAAGAGTGCCTCTGATTATTCTCCATCCATCAAAGAGCTCAAGGCATTACAATCTTGTTGTATGTAGATGATATGTTATTGGCAGGAGATGATGAAGTTGGAATCCATGAACTTAAGTCTCTTCTCCACAGCTCCTTCCACCTTGGGTTCTATTACTTATTTCTTGGGGCTAGAAGTACATCGTAGCAACCATGGTTACTTTGTTTGTCAGCACAAGTATACATCTGATCTTATTAAGCTTATTGGCCTTACAAACACCAAACAGGTTGATACACCTTTGGAACTCAATGTCAAGATGTTTAAATCTGATGGGACCTTGCTTCTTGATGCTACTCTATATCAGCAGTTGGTTGGGTCTCTCATCTATCTCACCATGACTTGTTCGAACATTTCCCATGCGGTTCAAGTAGTTAGTCAGTTCGTTTTAGCCCCCCACATGACTACTGCCCACCGGATTATCCGTTATGTTCGTGGCACTCTATCTCAGGGACTATTCTTCTCTTCTTCCTCTCCTCTTTAGTTGAGGGCTTATGTTGATGCAGATTGGGAAAATTGTCCTAACACCAAACAGTCTACTACCGGGTGGTGTGCCTTTTTGGGAGACTCTTTTATCTCCTAAAAATGTAAGAAACAACAGATAGTTTCTAAGTCATCTACAGAAGTCGAATACAGGGCTAAGTCATCAGTATGCAATGGGATTGTTTGGCTTTAATTTCTCCTTGCTAATCTTGGTGTTCACCTCCCCACGTCTACTCCTCTCTATGCTGATAACATTAACGCTATCAAGATTGCATCTAATCCAGTGTTTCATGAGAGAACCAAACACATTGAGGTGGATTGTCAGTCTGTCACTTCATTAGGGATCTATTTCTTGCTAGCTCTATTCCCCTTCCTCATATAGCTTTCGACTTACAGACTACCGACATTCTCATGAAGCCTATAACAAGATCTAGACATCTATTTCTTGTGGGCAAACTGATGCTTATGTCTCAACATCAGTTTGAGGGGGAGGGTAGAGAGATACTTGATGTATTGTAGTTCTATAGTCCCTGTTGTACCATAGCATTTATTTTCTTTCTTATCTTTCAACCCTCCAAGGGCCTCTTTGTAATTATTCTTTTTATCTTTAGCTCTTCAAGGGCCTCTTTGTAAATACATATAACTAATAAGATATAGGGCAAACTTCTTAAACTACCCTTACTGTTTAGCCAATTGACTAACTCTACCACCCTTGCTGTTTAACTGTTGTCTTAAACTACCCCTACTATTTCTGACAATGGCCATCGCCGTTAAATCCATAACAAAAAAGACAAAATGTCCTTTTTGCCCTTAAAAGAAAAACAGGAGCTTCAATTTGTCCTACTTCTTCACTGTTAATAGACTTGTTCAAGCAATCCTATTCCAGATTGTTTCTTTGCAAGGTGAATTATCTGATTGTTGTCGATCCCAAGAGGGAAATCATCAAACATCAAAACCGAAGAAGTGAACATTGAAGAGATACGCTACTTCCCCATAAGAGTTGCAGCAGAAAAGAGGGCTAAAGGCTTCTTGGGGGCTGAATCCTTCTCCATCTTTTTCTTCTTGCATCTATCACGGCCTCCGTCCTAGTCACTTATAATCTGGCAAGCAAGGCGATGAAGTTGCGGTGGCTGATGGCGAAGGTGACTGAAAGTGGAAAGATTTTGAGCAGTGGAGGAGGTGGTGAAGGTGACTACTAGTTTGCTTAGCGCGATTTGGCGGGAAACTTTCGGATGTTATGCTGGCCGGATTGGTGGGAGAGAGGATGACCTCAAGGGAGAGATGAGAGAAGTAGAGGATTGGGATTTGGAGACTTGATGGGGAGAGGATGAAGGCAACATTGCCCTTGGAAAGACTGATTGTAAATTGCAGGGAGGCAGTTGTGGATAGCTAGGGCTTGGAGGATTCAGTACCAAGGAGGAAGAGGAGATGGGTGTGCTTCTTCTTCAGGCGGAGAGTAGGCTAACAAGACTCCCAGCTCCTCTGGTACTGCTGGTGGTTACAATGTGGTGACAATGCCTTCTTCTAGGGGGAAGATTAGGACTGAGAAAGAGAAGTGGCAGAATTTCTCAACCGACATGGAGTTCAAAGAGACACAGAGACAGCTGGGACAAAGTGGGACAACGGGTGAATTTAGGAAGGTTTATGAATGGGAAACAGGTGGTGAAAGAACAAGGAAGAGTTACTTTCTATAGGAGAACAGGAACTCTCTCGTCCTTTGTAACATGTACCTCTGTAAGCTGGGATAGTAGCCGATCCACCAGCCTACAGGATCCAAATTGACGTCCCTGACTTGATCAGTCTCCTCTCCTCTCCACAAACAGAAATTTCTTATGAAGCCCATCATGTTAGGCCACTAACCCTGCAATGCCTCCGTCATCATTGGAGATGAAGATAGCATTCGTCAACCGCCATGAAGGAAAGCTTTTGTGGTGGCCGTCATGCCCGGTTGCTTGACCTTGCTGCAACCACCCAAATAAAATTCAATTCACCAAAATGAAAGAAAAAAGCAAAATCTTCCTTTGGTTGAAAAAGATTGTTTTTGGTTACAGCTATAACAGTTAAAATGAGAGTGACGGAGACGGGTTCGAGCAAATAGGTGAGCTTCCGTAGGCAGTTCCATTTGATACACCACCATAAATTGTAGTGGGTGGTGCACCAGTGGGAGAAGAAAACTGAAACAGGGGCGGCTGTTGATGCTCCATAAAATAGGGGATCAGCCCTTTTGATAAATGCCGGTGACCAGGGGCAGCCATTGATGCACCGTAAAATAGGGTTTTGATGGAAGAGGGATGGTGATTCTTATCCGACTTACAGAAGAGGGATGAAGGGTAATATTGGGTTTTAAAAAAAATTATGTGTTGTCATATGTGTACAGATTTTGAAGGAACATTAACGGACATTAATGGTAGGGGTAGAGCTAGTCAATTGCCAGAAAACTTAGGGATACTTTAAGACAATAGTTAAATAGTAAGGGTAGACTTAGTCAATTAGATAAACAGTAGGGGTAGTTTAAGAAGTTTGCCTATGATATAATAGGCTCTTTGGGGGTGGGGGTCGATTGTTCAGCATAACACCCCTGAAACTCCTGGTGTTCTCTTAACCTAGAAGGTTGACAAGATATACAAGTATATACAAAAGATCCTTCTATGCAAAGACTAGAATGCATTTCCACTCTTAGTATGTAAAGCTATTAGTATGTAGTTCATTCAAAATTCTCTTTATTATCATTGGAAAAATAAAAAGGAAAAATACCAATAATGAAAAACCTCGGTAAGGACAGTTCAAACCTAATTAAAACTACAAATTTGTCATCACTATCACAATCACATGCTATACACCTAGAGTATTAATACTAACAATATCATGCTGCCAAAGAACTAACTATTAGCTTCAATTTGGACTAGTTTCATCTAATTTAGTAGCAAGAAATGTATAAAATTAAAAATATGAATTACCTACATTGGGCAAATTTTACCTGCAAAATGGCTGCACGAACTGCTCTGGAACATGCTGCATTTGTACGCATGTAGTGAACAATATCCTACATTTGTTTTCATTCAAGATTGAAGTTACTTCGTCAGGAAGTTCAACAAAAAAGTGCCAAATTTTAATTTGCCATTGCTCCATAACACAACTATTCACCTGACAGCCAGTACTGTGCCCAAGTAACACCACACCTTCAGAATCTTCCTTGTTGATAAAATACCCAATTAGTTGATCAAGTTCTTGGGCATCCTTCAAGAACACATAGGGCAAGAATATCTTGAGTTAGTGAAGAAAATAACCATATGTACCAGCACACAGCTTAGAAAAGGTATAGTGTTATCCTACAATAAGAAAGATATAAAGACAAAGAAGACAAGAAAAACATTATATGACCTCCCAACCAATTCATTCCAAGTAAAAGGTAAATTCACCCACTAGATTACTAGATTTAAACACAAAAAAATGTTGGGATAAAAAAATTATTACAGGTGCAGGTAAAGCATACAACACTAGTCCAACCATGTTATGGAAGAAGAACAGGAAAAGAAATTGAAATACAACTAGAGCTAAACCAGAATGCTCTCTCAGAATAAGCAAGCCAACAGACAACTCCTTTAGCAAGCTAATCTTTCATTACTTTGACATAACTTAGAGTGGACACTGCTACACCTACTTTTTTCATTTGCTTAGAAATTATAATCTTGAAGTCCCTAGAACTTTTCTGTACCCAAAAGCCAAGACATGATTCCACCATCTAAATTATATATGCTAAAGCTGAGATCCTCAGATGGGTTTCTTTCTCATCAACATGGCTACCACCTTTGCCCATAAATAGGGTTTTCAACACTTGCCATGTGGGCAATGGGTCCACATCAAACAATCCATTTAAATTAGTCCATATGATAAGTTTCTTAATCCAAATCAAAACAGGGATAGTAATCCAACCATCTTTCTTTTGATTCAATGTTGTGGATACGAGTACATTGCAAATCTCCTCAAGAAACAATGTTTTATCCCAGAGGAGTCCCTCTCTTTCTAAAACTCTTTTAGGCCTAAATAAAGATTAAGAAATTCTTTTGTTTCAGATTTCTTAGAAAATTGAAACTAATTAAAAAGTCACAACTATAATTCATTATAAGTTTCCAAACAGAGGCTGATGATATTTTAAATATATGTGCTGAAATTTTTTTTTTTATTTTTCAGGCATTAAAACAAATAGTTCCCAAGTGCTGAGTACAGGGCCATTTGCTAATGCTATTACTGCAATCCTATCACAAAAGAAAGGATACTTTTATAATCAAAAAGAAGAAATGACAACATTTCATATTAGAGAAGCTTTAATCTCCAAAAGTAGAATTTTTCCCCTCACATAATCATCAGAAGCTGACAAAAGAACATATTATGAAGAACTGGAAGGAAGTGGCTTCTTCTAACTGTCATCGGGCCGAGATGAGGCCTTTATGGTCTCCACCAGCTAATATTTTTTTAAGTTAAAGTTTGATGGAAGTGGTGCAGGTAACCCAGGTCCTTCCAGAATTGGTGAGGTGTTTAGTAATAAGGAAAGCAAAGTTATTGGCTTATTTTCTGGTCCAATTGGTGCAGGAGACTCATTGAGAGTCGAAATTCTGGCTGTGATGGAAGGAGTGCAAAAGGCAAAGGAAATAAGTACGAAAAATCTGATTATAGAAGGTGACTTGAAGCTGAGATTTAAAAAAGGTTACCTCTCCTCTGTTATGTATTCTTATTAATTAATGAAATTCTGTTATTGATCCAAAAAAAAAACTGTCATTGCTACAAGGACCAATGTTTGGCTACTCTCTATGCCTAAACCAGGCAGATCAATCAAAAAGAATGCCTAAACCAGGTGGTGCGGTGGTGGTAGTAAGAGTCTCCTATCAAGTAGTGGTGGTAGTAAGAGTCTTCTATCAAGCAGTGGTGGGATGATCTCTTTAGATGGTGACCATGCACTTATATCTACAGCATTTGAGAGGCAAGATCCTTCTCATCAACGATGAATAGCTTGTTCAGATAGACACCAGCATCTACCAATGCTTTTACAGATAATCTTGCAAGCAGTGTCTTGAAAATTGTAATCCTGTCGTAAATCGCAGAGAATGTTGAATTGAATTGAATTGTGAATTGTATCATAAATCATAAGATTATTTGTCTTTTACCAACTTATCAAAAAACTAAATTCAATATACAAAAAGGCTAAATATTATATAGAAAAGTGATTTTACACTATTTTAAGTCCATATATACCATATATGTACCTAAAGCAATAGAATTTACCACTTGTACAATAGAAGCCTAAGTGTAAAATCCACAAGACACGTGTAACGCATGTGCATTTCCACTAAGGCTATATCTTACATTTAAGTGTAAAATCCACATGACATTTCTACTTTCTAAATTCGCATGCCTTTTGGCCTTCCCTCTTTCTAAAGCCTTTAACCTAAACCATACCCCCCTTATTGGTGGTTCTGTCAATGGCTACCATTTCATATGCTGTAATGTACAAAATATTGAAACATTTCTTATTTTAACAACCCACCAAAACACACAGAAACAACAAAGAGACATGAATAAATAGTGTGCTAATGAACTTTCTAGGTTCCAAAATGTAGAGTATATGTTTTTCTTTCTCTTCCTTTTATCTATGTATAAATTTGTATAGAGATTAAATGCTGAAAAGCAAGACCAGTACATTTGCACCACCATATAGAAAATTCTTTTTTGTGTACTTTTATTTTCTCTATATACACAACAACAACAACATAGATTTTAACCATCTTAAAAGAAATGATCTAGTGCACAATCCACATTTCTTCCAAATGCACCAATAAGATTTGACTGAAAAGCATGAAACACTACTTGCTGTAAGCTGGAGGTGCCATATCCAATGTAAGAAGATGACAGCAACAGTTGCACCAAGGACCATTTTTCTTTCTCCAAAGCAATTGACAGAGGTTCCAAGTACCTGCAAAATAATAGAAAACATCAATCAAATTTAAGAATCTTAATAAGCATGAACTACCATCCAGTCTTGAAGAATGTATTTATAATTATTGTTGCTTTACTATTAATCCTACATGCACTTGTAACCAAAACCATGCTTAAAATATGCCTGGGTAAAGGTGATGCAACAGAATAATGGGTACTAAAAGTCTTTTTTTCACTTTTTCCCTTTCAATTAGTATGGACTGCAGACCTCTGCTAGAAAATTGCCGGCATATGATGGAAACACTTTTCCGTAATGTCTAAAATAAGACACTTCTATAAGCAATCTAATAACTCAGCTCAACTTAACAATTCCATAGTTTTCACAGTGCCAAGGTGAGACTAGGTGACAGGGGGTACCATGTCGCTCACCTAGCTGATGGATTTTTTTGAATAAAAACCATGAATCCTAGGGTAATTCCCTAGGTTCCATAGAAAGCAGCAATCATCTTTCACTAGTAATTGTCTATAATCTTCATAAAAAATGTACAAACTTCATTTAAAACATAAAAAAATCAACATATTCATTAAAAATAAAGAAAAGAAATTTCAGAAATAGAGGGGTTGAGCCCCTATAGATAATGATCAATAATTCAATATGTGTTGGTTGGACAAAATTTTGAGTTCTTCCTTATCAGTTCAGGTTTTCAAGTCTTTGAGGGTTCAAGACTGAATAAAAATAATAAAAAGTAGCTAGTATTTTAACTTACAAACTGACTAATTTACTTCAATAATATATGATTTATTATTATACTCTCAACAAATTAAGAATATAGATGTGTGGAGGAATTGGTTAGCAGTGGCTAATTGTTCATCCAAAAAAACTAAAGTGAGCATGGCTTGGGAACCCCCTCCTGAAAGATTCTTGAAGCTGAATTTCGATGGGAGCAGTCTTGGTAATCCTGGTCCGTCAGGGGTGGGAGGGGTACTGAGGAATGAGAGTGGGAATGTGGTCCTTATTTTCTCAGGACCCATAGGAGCTGGAAACTCTACTATGGCGGAACTTGCTGCCGCTATCC